TCCTCCTCCTCGTCCTCCTCCTCCTCCTCCTGCTCCTCATCCTCCTCCTCCTCCTCCTCCTCATCCTCATCCTCATCCTCCTCATCCTCCTCATCCTCCTCATCCTCCTCATCCCCCTCGCGACCGCTCGGACCTGCTCCTCTTGCCCCTCCGTGTTCTCGCCGTCCTCCACAAGCGAGCCCAACGATTTGTCAACTCAAATGGACCGAACGATGCGTGAATTCAAGTGGGCCCTCCAGGACGTCTCGAAGGATCCGCAGGGCCATAAGTATGCAAGTGTGTTTCTGAGCTCTCGGCCGAACCGCATACATGCCCCAATGAAGTCCTCGCCGCACCAACTTCCAGCGACTGACCGGGAGGGGCACTTTTGAGTGATGTCTTTTCCCAGACAGTCAGCGAAATCAGGGCGGCAAGCTGAACAATCGCCGCGGGGATCTGGCTTCTCCACCCGGACGTGACCCCCCAAGAATCACATAATTTCTAGCGACGACAATCCGTATCGCACATTCTCTTGGAGACACTTGCCAGCAGAAGGTAGACGATTAGTTAACTCTGCACGCTCCCCAAGTCCAAGATATTTCCCGAGAAGAATGGGAACATGGGACATACCCGAGATCCGAATCGATGATCCCGAAGCCTCTCCAGGACCATCGCGAATGACGTGCACGCCATGAGTTTTGAAAAGCTTCTTGGGTCTCTTGGGACGCCTCCTGGGGGCCTCTTGGAAGAACGTTGGGGGCCTCGGGCGGCCTCTGAGAGGATTTGTTCGAGCATGTTGGGGCGTCTGGGGGGCCTCGTGGGGACCAGCTGGCGATGTCGGCGTCTCTGGGCCCCATCTGGGGGGTCTGGTGGGGGCGTCTGGGGCCCGTTGGGGGAGCCTCTTGGGCCGTCCGTCCTGGGGTCCTTTGGCGCGTCCTGGGGCGCTCTTCGGGGCCACTTGGGCCGTCTCGTGGCGAGTGTTCGTCCTTGTTTGTTGTGTTCTGGGCATATGCGCAGTATTCCGAACATGCGGCCAACGCTCTGGCACAACGACTGAATTCGCTCAGATACTAGGATAAGTACCGCGAGGAGCAGCATGACCTGGTCGACCCTGCATCGCAGACATCGCTGCAACGGAGAAATTAAGGCGCAGGACCCAGGCTGCCGCTGAAAACGCATGTGGAACGCTGAGACCGTTCAGCTAGCCTGGCTGATAAGTTCTTAACTGCACGGGCTAACAAAGTTCGCCGCCGCGGATGCAGCACGACCTGGTTGACCCTGCCCAGCAGACATTGCTGCCAAGAAGAAATAAGGTGAAGGGCCCAGGCTGCCACAGAAGAACTGCTTGAAAGGCTCAGCCGTTCAGCTGTCCTGGCACGTGAGCTGTGCTCTGCACGATCTAGATACCCCTTGAAAAAAGTTACGCCGCACGGTTTAACAAGGTTTGCCGCCGCGGGTGACCCCCACGCATTTCTTATGACATCTTAGGTAGTTGAGAGACGGCGAGAATGCGACCCTGAGGTCCCTCAGCCCGGCTGCGAACTCACAAGCCCTGAGCCTCAGGTGGAATCGCGGGCGCATCGCTCGTGGGCTTCTGATCCTTAGGCGAGCCCTGCTCCTTCGCGGGCATATTGAACATCGGCGAGCTACCCAGCCGGCCGAAGGCGAAAGAGTAACCACCGCCCACGAAGATGGAACCTGCGAAGATGTTCCCGAGGGTCACCGGGATGAAATTCTTCCACAGGCAGTCCAGCACGGACACGTCTGCGCCGGCCATCATCCCCATGGGGATCATGAACATGTTGGCTGGGATATGCTCAAAGCCAATGGCCACGAAGCAAGAGATGGGGAACCAGATGCCCACCATCTTGCCAACCATGTCCTGCGCCTGGCCCTGCAGGAACACCGCCATGCACACCAGCCAGTTGCACCCGATTCCCTTGAGGAAGGTGACCCCGAAGTTCTCCTTGATCTTCTTCTCCGCAACCTTGCGGGCAAGCGAGGCAGTCAGGCCAACGTTCAGGTTGCAGGCTGTAACGAAGCCAGCGAAGAGCAGGGCGCCAAGCAGATTGCCCACCCAAGCCAGCGCGAACGTCCTCAGGATCTGCATCCTGTGCAGCTTGCCCTCAAACACCGCGGCAGGCACGGTCGCCGCTGTGCCTGTGATCAGCACCCCACCTGTGAGGAGGATGAGCAGCAGGTTCACCGGGAAGAGCGCAGCGAAAACAAAAGTCTGAATGGTCGGGTTGTCCTGGGCCGCGCTGTCCAGCCCGCCAGCCACCACCATCGACAGCATGCCCCCGAAGCCAATGTAGCAACCCGCGTAGAACGACTGGTGGAAGATCTTGATGGACGAATCGCCGCCCATCCCAACGCCCTTGTCCACCATGCCCATGAAAGCCTCCTTCGGGGTCTTAACGATTGACATGAGTTCCGGCATGATCGCAAGCCCTGCTTTGGACAAGGAGCGTCTCCGACAGTGGTAAAATTCGGGGCGAGAGATGTGCAAATACAAAGCAAACACGATTCGACTTGAGCCAAAATGGCTACGGAGGCGAATTGTTGTCATTTTGTGTCGTCATGGCCCGTCCGATGCCACGGAAAGCGCGAACACTAAAATCTCTTTAAAACCGAAAGAACGTAAATTCATTTTGGTCGGGGGCCTCTCGGACGTCTAGGTAGCCTTTTGAAGGCATCGTGGGCGGTCTTGGAGCGCTCTGAGGGCGCTCTCGAATCGTCGTGGTGGCCACTTGAACCACCTGGGCGATATTACAGCGCTCTCGGGGGTGGAACGGTCCCCAGTGGGCCGGAAAAGGTGAAATTAGATAACCGACGGGCGGTCATGGTTGTCACTGTGTGCCGGGGGAGACCAGGGGGGGAAAACTCCGACATGATATCTAGATGTACACAGCGTTCACAAACATCGTAAGATAGAAGGAGGGAGAGAAAACAAATAAAAATGATATAACTATATATATATATAGAGAGAGAGAGAGAAAGAGAGAGAAAGAGAGAGAGAGAGAGAGAGAGAGAGAGACCGACAGACAGACAGAAACAAAAGAGAGAAAAGAAAGACAGAATCACCTAAGGAGGACGGGGGAAGAGGAGAAAGCTGCAAAAAAACACTTTTTTGGTCTGCGGGTCGAGAGCGAGCCTCTTCCGGTCAAGAGCTAGGCGGGCCGCGCAAAGCACTAGTTGGGGAGACAGGGCACAGGCGGGCGGGGCCTCAGGCGGCAGGAGGGCGCGGGGTGCAGGCGGCGCTGAGGAGCTTGCACAAGAAAAAAACGCCTTGGACAGGAGCCGGAGGCGAAGTCCGGAGGGTGAGCGGCGTGGTGTTGCCGTCGACGGCGCATCGAAAACACCATCCTCAAGTGCTGCGCGCAGGTGGACGTGAGCAGGTCGACGTCCAGGGTAAGGAAGTTCACCACGAAGGCGATGAGCAAAGTAGTGCCACCAGATGGCGAGGAGGGGCCCAAGAGATGAGGAGGACCACGAAGGCGACGTGCAGCGTTGTGCCACCAGGTGGTCGGAAGCGGCCTGGGGTGGTAGTCCAATCCGCGTCCACAAAGCAGCCAGCCAAAAATGCAACCAAAAACAAGGCCGTCCGCGCCCGACTGGATGTCGGTGGTGCGCAGGGAGGAAGCCTGACCTGCACAGCCAGCGCGTGAAGACGGGCGGGAGCCACACACGATGCGCCGACGATCGCATGGCCAAGGGCCGGGCCTGAGCCGCGCTGCCCAAGGCAAGCGGGGCCGCCGAAGCGGCAAGGTGCAGTGCCCAGCACCGGGCCGGAGCCGCGCTGTGCCGGGTGCCGCCGCCATGGGGGGGGGGGGGGGGGGGGGGGGGAGCGAGCGGGGGGGGGGGCGAAGCGAACGGGGAGGAGAGAGGCCGGCATCCCGCGCCAGCCGAAGTCGCGTCAGCTTGCACCGGGGCGCCCACGAGGGGGCAAGCCCCAAGGGGCACAGGTAGGACACAAGGTCCCATTGCAGGTATAAACAAGGTGTGCCACGCAAGTCGTCGGTGCACCAATGCGTCGCAGATGGGCACAGGCGGGACACACAGTCCCAGATCCTTGAATACGGGAGAAGGGAAGGGGAGGGGAAGGGAAGGACGGGGCACAAGTGGAAGGGCGGGTAGACAGCCCGTGGAACGCGGGCGCCACAGGGGCGACGGGGAGCACGCGATGGGGAAGGGACGGACACGCGGTCTCCAGCCAGGTGAGAGAATTGGGGTGGGGGTCGTGGTCGGGGGCGCAGGTGGCGGGAGCGATTGGCCGGTTGTGCTGTGGTGCCGCGGGCCAAGGGGTGGTCGGGTCGACGACTGTCAGCGCCGCGGGCGCTTTCCAGTCCAGGCGTCGCGGTACCCGGAGCTGCGCGCCTGGCCCCCGTCGCGCCCGTCACCCTTAGCGACCCCCCTTTTCCTCTGTACGCCTTGGTAAAGCTTCTGATCCCGCCCCCAGTCCACGCAGACGCCTGCGATGCGGGACCGCGCCTCCACGCGGTGGTTGTCGATGCTCATGTCATCCAGGAAGTTGTCGATGATCCAGCGATGCCAGCGGCCCGGGTCGACGGGCGCCTGGTCTTTGGATTTGCCCTTGCCCTGCTCCTTGCACATGCGCCTGCACCACGAATGCCAGGCTGCGTTGAAGTGTCTCCCCCCTTCCGCTTGCAGCCTCTTCAAGTGTGTAACCGCTGTCTCGTTTGGGAGGCGCTGCCAGCCAACGCGGAAGGTGGTTCGCGTCCGGCTGGTGTCGGCGTGGCTGCGATCGTCCTGGCGGCAAGAGTTACGCGATTCTGGCTGGCGCCAGGGTGCGCTACCTGCGCCCCTGCCAGTGTCGTGGCCCTGGTACCAGTAGCGCTCCTTAGTAATGTCCCAGTACTTGGCGTCGTGCTTGCGCCACGGTGCCCCAATCGCGCCCTGGTTGCGGTCGCGGTCGCGGTCGCGGTCTCGCTCTCCTGCGCGGGTCTGGTCGGCCTCTCTGGACTCGCGCCTCATCGCCGTCGCGCACGACTCCCAGGCGACTGGCCCCCGCACCCTGCCGCGCGAGCGCTCGAGCAGGTGCGCAGGGAGAGGGGTGAGTGCAGGTCGTGGGCCCCCCGGGCCTTTGGAGCGGTTCCGCGCGCGCAGGTTCCGGTCGTCGGCCGCGGCCTCTGGGCGCAAGATTGGCTCAGCGGGTGCGTGGGCGGCCCTCTGGTCGGTACTGCGCGGGTCGTGCTCGGGGCTGGTGTGCCGCTCGCTCCGAGGACTCGTCTTGGCTCGGTGCTCTTCGAATGTGTCCGAGTCTGAGGACGAGGAGACCAGATGGACTTTGCTTTGGGCCTCGGCGAGGCACAGCTTCTGCTCTTGTGCCTGGTCGCCATTGCCCCAGTCGGGGTCCTCCTCCTTAGGGGGCATGAGGGGCGCAGGTTCGTTGGTGGGGTCCTGTGTGTCCGCTTGCGGCGAGTAGGGTTCGAGCTTGGGCCTGTCCTGCATTCCCTCTGAGGACGCCGCTTCGTCTCCCCCGGTGCTGGTGCCGCGCATGGGGCCGTCGAGGAACGCTGGTGCCTGCGTTCCGCGCACCTTGCCGCGGGCACTGTCCAGAAAGGTTGCTGCCCGTAGCGCTGCGTCTCCGCGGAGGACGTTTACGCGTAGCGTCCTGTCGCCGACGCCCCGTACTTCCAGCCGCTCGCTGCCGATCTGGACGAGTTGCGCCCGCGCGTCCTGTTCGCAGGCCAGGATACAGAGGACGGGCCCGAAAACTGCTCCATCCAGGGGCTGTGTCGGCAGGGGCTCGGCGCAGTCCGCAGTGCTAAACCATCTAGCGCGGGGGGGGGCATCACCCCTGATGACCACGTAGCCGCCGCATTGGATGCCCGGGTTGTCCGTGGCAGTTGGGCACAGGGAGCCCACGATGGGCGTGTCCGGGACCTGCCCTTGCTGCTTTTCACGGCTGCCCCGTTCTGCACACCTTCCGAAAGGTTCAGGAGTCGCGCCGACGGATGGCGGCGCCCCGCCGGACTTGGTAGCCGTGGGTCGCGTGGCCGGCTGGGCTGGGGTCGGCTCGTCGCCACGCGGGGTTGGTGGAAGTGAATGGGGAAGGGATGAATCGCCCCCGTGGGTGGGCAGTTTGGTAGGTGTCGGGCAGGGTGTCACGCGCCTTTCCTTGGTGGGCCTTGTTGACTGGGCTGGGCTGGGCGTCTGCTCGGGGCGCACGCCCGCAGGGGGGCGGCGCGCTGCTGGGCCCCGCCGGTGGTTGCGCTTCCCGCGGGTGGCTGGGCGGAAGCCCAGCGTCGGGATCCCGACGGGGGGTGGCAGTGCAGTGGCGCGGCGATCGCAGTAGCTGCGCTCTGCCTCGTCCCAGGCGGCTGCGCGTCGCAGCACCTCCTCTTAGCTGGGGCGTGCTGCGCCCTCTGCCGATGAGGCGGGGGTGCCCGGTAGCGCGGGGAGAGGTCTGGATCCTGCTCTCGGGTATACGTCGGGGCCGTATCTGTCGAGTACCTGGCTCACTGCTGATGGGGGCACGTCCCATTGGTGGACCAGGCATTCCTTGCAGCACCAGCCCGCATGCCAGCACTTGGCCAGGAACATCTCCCTCATCAGCTGGACGGGTGGGAGCCCGTGGACCAGGTTGAAGCCGTCGCGGAGTCCTTCTGGGTCCGCGGCGTGCCCGCACATGCCAGGGCAGGCCTGCCCTGGCCCCCACCTGTGTCCCTCTGTGCCGGAGGGGCAGCCACCACATCGCCAGATGCCGACATTCTCCCTGTGGACTTGGGAGATCAGGCGGTCGTCTTTTGTGATGCTGACTGGGAGGGTGATTCCCACATTGAAGGGGTTCAGGTCGCCTTCCAGTGGGACCAGTAGCTGGTCCAAGGGCGTCAGGGCCGCGGGTGTGGACGTCGGACACAGCCCTGGAAGGGCGCGCGTTGCCCGGAGAGGCATGTCGTCGGGGCGGTCGTTGATCCAGCTCTTGAAGTCCACATCGTCTGGAATGGGCTGCCGTTCGGCCATTGCCTTCGTGGTCCAGCAGCATATGCAAAGCCAGGTCAGGCCCTTCCCTTGGTAGTACTCCGTCAGCCTGTTGCTGTTGATGGCTTGGCGAGTTCGTTTGCTGACGCATGCGCCCTCGTGCTTGGAGGGGCCGCGCAGGCACCCTTGGCAGTAGAAGTCAGCCTTGTACTGTTCCTTCCTCCACCTGGTGTTTCGGCTGTCTAACCATGGGGGCCTTAGCGTCACTCCAGGGCGTGGCCCGAGAGGGGCAGGTGCGTCAAGGCGCAGGCGCGTGCATGGGTATCCTGCACATATCCAGGTGACGCTGCTTGCCTGCTTGGTCCGGTCGTTGGCGAGGCCGATGTCGGATCCGATCACGTCGACGTAGAGCGCGCATACGGCGCACTCGTGGACTACCAAGGCTGACAGGTTGGCGGTGGACACAATGCCCTCGATGACTGCGAGGGTGGCCTG